AATTTTCTCCAATTTTGGTCTCAAAAGATTCAATGATGAACGCAGATCGGATTTTCTGGTAACTTCTCTTTTAGAGAGTAAATTAGAAGCAGTAATAATTGCTCATAGTGTATTTAATAAATTAATTGTAAACGGACAAACTAATTTTGTAAAAATGTTTATTGAAATTAATACTAATTTCCATCCACGTATTAGATTTTAATTGAGAATATATAACAATAATGTTAATTAAAAATTAACAAAATAAGAATGTTTAAGTATCGATTACAGTTCTACACTATCACTATATTATTTTAATCTTTAGAATATTTATTATAAAAATATTTATTTGAATTTATTTAAAATAAAATTATGTATTATTCACACAAATTGTTCTCACAATTAGAATTTATATAACATTTGATGTAGCATATACCAATAAGGAGTATGCTAAAATTTATAAAGATTGATGAAATAATTGTTAACTTCAATAGATTCTTTAAGAAATTCTCTGAATTATTGATTTTAAATTAAATAGCAACTACCTTAATGAGGGGCTCAATAATCATAGATAACTTTTCAATAATTAAATTTTTTAATGTGCATAAAATCATGTAACAATAAAAAAATAACGTACATATATGGAATATATTTATACTTAAGAACCCAATACATAATAAAGCCCAGAAAACATCCTAGTCTTAAAAAAATGTATTTTTTGTAATATAAATAATCCAATCTAAAAAGTGTTCATGTGACAACCATCCAAATATTTTTTATGAATAGGGTATTATCTTTTATAAATATAAGAAAAGTTTTACGGCAATACGATTAAATAAGAGCACTTATTAATTAATTTTGAAAATAAATTATTTTTTTAAGTACTTTCCCAAGATGATTGATGTTTTTTATACATGTCGATAGTTTTATGTGCGTAAGTTTGATAAATGTAAAATCAAACATAGATTATTTGTAATTATAACAATGTTTTCAATATCCAATATTTTGCAAAATTGCAAATTTCTTATATGCAAATATATTTAAAAACTCTAATAGTACAGATTGCGTCATATGGCCATTTTTAACCATTTTATTGTTTTTAGAAACAATTAAAATCATAAAAAATTGTATGCAGTAAGAGATAGAAGTCTGTTAATGCTCATTCTAATAATTCTCTTCGGCTATAAAACATTTGTAACGCAGTGCTAAAAGTTTATTCGTAATAAATATTGATAAGTAGAGAAAATGATAATAATCATATTTAGAATGAATTTATTCTAATATTTATGCCTCAATGCATAAATGATAGCAGTCTTATTCGCGATTAATAAATTTGATTAAAACCACAATTTATAATTTTTATGCATAAAAACGTAAAACAAACATTATTATAATGGAGTGTTCATTTATTAAACATGTTTGATTTGCAACAAGTTTTGCAAGCTCTGTTTAACACTTCTTATCCAATTGTCCCCATCAGATTATCATGTGAGATATTAGGCCTCGTAGTCCTGAATGAAATAAGTGTGATTTAATCATTTAAAATCTCTGGGAGAAACCAGGTTGAAAGTTAATCCAGATAATATTATCTAGAACACAGATAATATCATCAAAACACATTTTTCTGAATCAATACCAATTCATTTCACGGGACTTGTTTAATATCAATTTTAGAAATCATAAAATTAACGGTGAATCCAATTTGTGTTTATGAAGTTATTCAGAATGGTTAAGTGAGCGATTTCCAATGTAAAACTGATTGAGCGCTAATTATGTTAATTGTTTTGATTTTAACTTGTTTTTTACAGTATTGAGATATATTTAAGTATATTTTAAATCACGGCTATTGAGATTACTAAAGACTTACTATTCCTGCGGCGATTACTAAAAAATAGTGTGGTGATTATCAGTGAAAAATGAAATATGAAAGTTAATAAATTGTGAATTTGTTTACAAATTTGTTGCAAGTTTTGTGAATTGTTCATAAGAACAAATTAATAGTTTCATCTAAAATAATATTTGCAAATAGCATTTAACAATGGATGTTGAGGAATTAGGATTGGTGAGATTTGTTTGATGTATATATATATATATATATATATATATATATATATATGCATATAGTGTTCAATTTTCAAACCAATTTTTCGTATTCTGTACCTCTGCTATAAATTCCTAGTATTTTTCCTTCTCGTAGACCATCATCTGCTTCATCCTAGTATTAACATCCTTGTTTTCATTGTTTCCAATTTTCCTTTTATTAGACATATATATCTTGATAATTTTTTGAAAACACTGGATACAATTTTATTTTTATCTTGCATTTTTTTCTGGTCTTCTGGTGCACCTTATTTTAGAGAACTAATTAGTTCTCTTTACTTTATTTTAGTAATTTTAGTAATACTTTTAAGTATGTAACATACTAAAATTCAAAGTATCATTAGTAATAACTTTTAGTGAATGTATTTTTATTTTTTTAGTGTTTATTTTAGAACAATTTGAGATTAAACATTTTGAAACAATAGGAAAAAGTGAACTTCAATTCCTTCAATTTTCATATAATTAACTATACACTTATTATAATAAGGGTATAATTGTGAACAGTGTTTGAAGGAGAGAACATCTCATTCAAAAAGCTCTCTCTGCCAAGTGCACATATATAACTTCAACATATTTTATTTTGAATTCCAAGATCCTTCAAAAGGCTCTCTCTGCCAAGTGCTCATATATAACTCCAACATATTTTATTTTAAATTCCAATTATTTGAATTTTCTTATGAATATTCTTTTTCTGTTTCCTGATGCACCAACTTTTATTTATATTTCTTAGTAGATCATCAATCATTTATATCCTTTAACCAACTTTTTCAATATTCCTTCTCTATTTCATTCAACACATAAACATTGTAACTTTAGATAGTTCACATTGTTTTACATTATTTCCATGTAAAAACTTCTTCTGATGTGAACTTATTGATTTTTCATACAAAATTATTGCATTTTATTAAGAACTATTTCACATGATTCCAAAAACTATTTTAAATTAAATTTTAGGAACAAAATTGATTTTGAATTCAATTTATATCAGAAAATCAAAAATTTTATTTTTTCTAATAAGTTTCTAATAAGCGTTGGTAAGAAAATTTTTTATCTTACCAGGTCATAGAACTGTTAAGTTGTTGCAGTTTAAATAATAATAAAAACTTATTCATTATATATTACAGTCACTTCAGCAATTCGGATGGCTGGACTACGTATTTTTTGTAGCAATGCTGCTGATATGCATTTTTATAGGAATATATTTTGGTTTTATAAAGAAAGTAGACAGCGAACAAGAATACTTGGCTGGAGGAAGAAATATGCTTGTTACTCCGATTTCTATGTCACTCATTGCCAGGTACATCGATAATAATAAATCACTATTCATAATTATTATTTAACGATAATAAGAATCATAATAATTATTTGAATGATATTGTTTTCAGTTATATATCTGGAATAACATTATTAGGATTACCAGCAGATGTCTATAGATTTGGAATGCAATATGCATATGTTGCATTTGGAATTATTTTTACAGGATTTGCAATGAATTATATATACTTGCCAGTATTCTTAAAACTTAATATTACTTCAACTTATGAGGTAAATAAATTGAAAATTGAAATATAAAATTATATTTAAAATTCTATATTTTTTTATTTTAGTATTTAGAGTTACGATTTAACAAAAAAGTAAGAACTTTTGGATCTATATTATACACAATAGGAAATGTAAGTAACAATATCTATAAAACGCCAGAGCTTATTTAATTTTAATCTATTTTAACTTTTATGCAGATAGCGTATTTGCCAATTGTGATTTATGTTCCTGCTTTAGCTTTTAATCAAGGTAAGCAAGGATATTAACATATATAATTTAAAACTTAATGTTTATTTTAATTTTACTATTACAGTTACTGGCGTAAATGTGCATGTCATCACACCAATAGTATGTCTGGTTTGCATTTTCTATACATGTGTGGTAAGTTCTATTCTATACTAATTACCAATTCAAATTATTAGGAAAAATATTTCTCCATTATATAAAAATCGAATAAAAAAAAATACTAAGATAAAATGGCAATATCAAATTCTTGGTTTTTATCCCCTCGTATGGATTTGTTACAAGTTTGAAAAAAAAAGAACAATTATTAGTAAAATTTGATTGCCACAATTTCAATGACCATTTTAATATAATTATGACTTAAATCAGGTTCCACACAAACTCTAAGGAAAATTACTAGAGGTCAATCAGGAAACGTTTGATGACAGCATGTTTTAAATGTATAAAACAATATTTTCACTTTAATAGATTTTTATCATTTTTTTGTTTTCTAGGGAGGTCTGAAGGCGGTAGTATGGACCGATGTTATCCAAACTGTCGGAATGTTTGGTTCAATAATTCTAGTTATCATAAAAGGTACTATTGATGTTGGTGGATTCGGAACTGTGATGGACAGAAGCTGGGAAAGCGGTAGATTAGAGGCACCCGAGTAAGAAAAACATTAATAATATAAAATTTAGTGTTGATAGTTTAATAAAGTCAAACAGAATCTCCACTATTTTTTTAATATAAAAGATCAAGACTTTTTAAAACTTTCTATAAAATTTTAAATTCAGTTTAAAAAGGTTTCCAAAGCGACACGTTTCAGTTTTAAGCAAAAATCCCTATAAGTAATACGTATAATTGCTTGTAACATTATTAAATATTTTTAAAAAATCTTTTAAATATTCTTGTTCTGAATGTATTCTCATAAAAATACATAATGTTCTTTATTAATGTGATTCAGTTTAAACCCAGATCCTACTGCAAGACATACACTATGGACATGCGTTGTAGGCGGTTGCATCTCCTGGTTGCAATCAAATGCAGTTAGCCAGAATATGATCCAGAGATATATTGCTTTGCCTAGCTTGAGAGCAGCTCGAAGGTAAAATATAATATTGTATATAAAGTTCAAATATACAATCAAATTGCTCTGATAACTTTGTTTTGATTTCCATAATTTTGTTTGTTCCATAATACTCTAACCGATTTTCTTCCTATTATAGAGCTGCTTGGATCCTGGTAGTTGGAGTTGCTTTATTGATTACAATATGCTCCTATTGTGGCCTCCTCATGTATGCTACTTATTACGATTGTGATCCTCTAACAACTAAGGTAAACATTATTCCTCATTTTTGCATTATTTGGGCCAGCGGTGGCGATATCGGTTAGAGCGTGGGCTAGCAGCAACTAGTTCCAGGTTCGCTGGTTCGATTCCCGCTACCGCCGTAGCACGACATGAGGCAGCTTTCCATGTCGAATTTCCACTTGGGGTTATAGATCACAATATAATTCAAAGTGCAAATCGTCATTCGTGGACATAGCTGCAACATCCAATCACATGTTAACTATTAGGCGTAAGAGCTAATATCAAAAATATCCCATACATAAGAGAATGGTAAATCGATGGATTGCCTCTCAAAAAATAAGTAGCCATAAGTCTTAACCAACAGCTTATAGAACACATAAGAGTTCTGATTGCTGTTCAAACAATTACAAAAAAAATGCATTATTTATTACATGCTATTCAATTGTTATCTAATTTCTCTGTATACAGTTGGCACGAGTTAAAGATCAAATGTTGCCTTTGTTTGTAATGCGGACATTGAGTGGAGTTCCTGGATTATCTGGATTATTCATAGCTGGTGTATTTAGCGCAGCGTTAAGGTAAAAATATTTGTACCAAGTGATCGTATTGTATCTATAATTATCCAGTTAATATTTTTTACTGTTTTGCAATAGTACTTAGCAATTACAGTTCATTTGCCTCTGGTATATACTTAGTTCCATTGAAAAGATGACGTCACATTGACAAATTATTTATTTAAAAATAATCTTTAATTTCCAATGATAATTTGATATTACCCATATTGCATATTTGATAGTAAAAAAATTAATTGTTGAAAATGCCATTTGCAAAAATTCATCAATAATTAACATCTTCTAACGTTGAATGATGATTCTACTTTTATTTATAGAGCTAATTTATTTGTATATAATATTTAAATTTATTAACATAGGCCTTTTCGGCCTTTTATAAGAGTTATACCGCTGGAATATTTATGCTTCTGCTATTTTATTGCCGTTAGATATAGATGCACACCTCAGGCAGCCCGACATCAAGCAGTAATGATAATAGAAAAGATTTGCTTTGAAATAAATAAACGACATTAAAGTGTCATAATATCATTCCACCAATTATTTAAGGAATATTATTAACGTTTATATGAGTAAGAATCGATTTTTCTTGCTTTGATAGCGGCGCTTTGTTATGTAGTCTGATTAAAAAATTAATTAAATAAAGTAATTAATGAATACAACGCAGGATTTATTACTGAACACAGTATCACCTTCGTTATTTGAGAATAAAATTTTAATGCAAATTTTTAATACGGGCTGGCCGTGGTCCCGTGGTAAAAACGTGGGCTAGCAAATCCTAGTCCCGGGTTCGAATCCAACCTCGGTCGGTTCGGTATCAAAGCAGCTTGAAACCAAATTTTCACTTGAAATCATAGATTTCAAATATGATTTCAAGTGAAAATGGCCTTTCGTGGGCATAGCTGTAGTGGCAACATGCCACTTGGAAGTAAAAAATCATCACTGTTACAACAATTGTAATAATAAAAATTCAGCACATAGAGATGAGACAACTGTTTGGGTTGCCATCTATAATAAAGCAAACGTAGTTTGTAAGAGATTCATCACAACAGCTCATAGAACCCATTAGTTCTGATCGCTGTTCAAATAAATCCAAAAAAAAAATTCAATACTTTTACGGTTGTATGATGATATGGAATATAGTTACGCAAACAAGAATTGCATACTTAACAAGTTCTGTACTTAATTCTAAATTACCTGCATATCATCTATACCTTAGGCTACATTTGTGTTTTCTATTTTATTTTATATTACCAATCATCACAAAAAACTAGCTTTAGAGTTGTATAAAATGACTCACCCTTTCAGGTTTAAAAAGGTTAGAACTCGTTGTTAGCTGAATAATTATTATTATTAATTGAGTTTATTTTTTTCAAATTTCTTCCTATTTTAATTTATATGTTATATCTTTATAATTTATTTATTAAATACAATTAAAGAATAGCCCTTTGAAAGCCATTATAATTAAATATGTCGCTCTAATTAGATTGTGTAGGCAGATTATAACTTATATTGGAAATAATAAAAAATCATTACAGTTCTCTATCGACTTGCCTCAACTCCATGTCAGCTATCGTTCTGGAGGACTTCGTCCGTCCAGTAGCAAATTCTCGTGGTCATACATTGACGGACCGTCAAGCCTGGTACGTGATGCGGCTGGTGGTGCTCTTCGTCGGTGCACTTTGCGTTAGCCTGGTGATGCTCGTGGAACGCGCAGGCACTGTTTTCCAACTCACGTCCAGCGTCGAAGCCATCACGTGTGGACCTTTACTTGGAATTTTCACAGCTGGAATGCTCATACATTGGGTCAACTCTAAGGTAATAAATGTTCAAGGTAAGAAGTTATTATAATTAATTAGTTGTATATCCTATATTAGGTAATTTGCAAAGTGTGCTTTCAAAAAATATATTTTTTAGAGAATTTAATTACCAAAATAAACCAATTAATTATTTTAATTAATTTGTATTATTATTGAACACATAAAAAAAGTTTATAGATGAGCTGTCAAAATACAACATCAAATTAGAGAGTTAGAGTAGTTTTATGAAAAGTTATTATACTATCAATTAATAGTTATTTCGACGAGCGGCAAGAAAGATCGCTTCAGAGCAAATTGATTCTAATCAAAAATACAGGGTGCGCCATTTATATGTGGCCAATGGAAATGTTGAATAACTTGAACAATTTTCAATGAATTTTGATAAACTTTCTTTTATTATAAAATAAAAAACCTTACAATTTTTTCCAGCTATATTCGAAAAACAACGTCGATCAAATGACTTCTTTTATTCTGTCAATGTTAATCAATGTTTTCACTGACCACGAATTGATCGCGCACCCTTTAATAAGGCAGATATATCGATTGAAATGCATTTAGATATTATAAATATTAAAACTAGTGGTTGATGGCATCGTGCCTTAAGGCAAATTGCTCTAACTTTCCGTACCGTAACAAAATCTTCGAGGAATATTTAATGTTTTCGAATAGATAATTATGAATACTTAATAATTATATAAAATAAATTGCAAAGTTAAAATTATTTATTTAAAGAATATAAGCGTGCTTTAGAACTTTCACAAGAATTAAAATTAAAATCTGAATTATTGTAAAATTAAATAATTTTTTTTCCAACAGCAATTGTTCTGCCAACACAAGCAAAAAGGTTTTTGAATCATTCAAATCGGATACTAAGTTCTATCAAAAACTGCATTTTTTGTACATTTAGCTTTCTATCTTCAAAACGGCTCGACCTGCCTTTGTCAAGAACTAATCACGACTTCTCCCCATGATTACAAAGTGAATAACTTTCGGATCATTTAAATCGGATACTCCGTTCTCTCAAAAGCTCAATTTTTATTTTCTGCACTCTTTGCTTCGTATCTCCGTACCGGCTGGACCTGCCTTTGCCAAAAACTAATCAGCACATCTTCCAATCAATATGTTTTTTCAGTTTTTAGACTAACCAAAACTATTAGATGCTTGTCAATATGTAAGAATTATATTTTTTTTTCAAATTAGGGAGCAATGACTGGTCTGTTCTGTGGATTAGTTTTTATGACCTGGTTAAGTCTGAACGCTCAAGCAGCTATCGCATCAGGGCACATTGACTATGAAACAAAACCATTATCTGCAGAAGGATGTGACTACCTTTTTAATGCTACTAGTTCAACAGAAGAACCCATTATTCAAGAAAGGTAATATATACAATACAAGCGTTAAGAAATAGAAATATATGGATAACAAATTCTTATCATTTATTTTGGAAGAGCATAATTTTCTATAATATTTTAAAATATATGAAAATTAACTTCTAATAACTTAAGTAATAGTGGCTGAAAATATATAATTTCACGGTATTTGTAATCTAAAACTTGTAAGACATCATGAAAAACTTCAATAGGGATAACCCCTTCAAGTAATAACTAGGTCAGTACAATTAATTGACGTGAACGTATTTTAAATAAGGGCTAATAATGGATATAAGCAAAAGACATGGACGTAGATTTCATTGCAATAAAACCATCCCAATAATTTGCCAATAACTTTTAACTATATATAAACGTATCAAATGAAAATAACATGATAGAATAGTTCTTTCATAAAGAATTCATTTTTCGGAAACCAAGCGCTGTATTTAAAGCAATACTTGCTTAAATACATTATTATTAGATGGTATATATATTATATTCTTGCCAAAGAAACTTACTCTCTGTTGCGATGATATTTTTTGTGGCCTAACAACTTATAGATTTTCCTCTGTTGAATACAAAAATCTAAGAAATTTATTTGATTAAGATATAATGATGAATGCAATAGGTTTGCATCGGTTTGCATAGGTTGGGCCCTTCCAGTTACAATTGCAACTGCTTCATATTTTTAATATTAAAACTAATTAAAAATTACGTAAAAACTTCAGGACAGAAATGTCTACCAGACATGTCTACCAGAAACTTTATAAAATTTAAAGTCACTAAATAATTCAGTTTTTCAAAAAAAGGCAAGAAGAGTGAATAAATTTGGAGAGTAAATAAAATATCAACATTTGTGAAAAATTCAGAAAAATAGAGAGAATTAGATGGATAAATAATTAGAATGATAAATATTCTTTTAATTTTATGGATTTTTATATTTTATGAAAAAAAATTCTTCGTGAGGGGCCCCCCTACAAATTTTGATGCGGGGCCCCGCCAAGGCATGCTACGCCCTTGTCTCCTACGCATGATTTTGTATTCTGAAAATACTATTATTTAGTCTAGCATGTCTACTATGATACGACTATGATTCTCTGATACGACTTTGATTTTAACCACTTAAAGGTCACGCACGAATATCTCAAGCATGTTTTTCCAGGCACAGAGCAAGAAAATGTAAAAATGTTAAACTTATTAGTTATTATAACAGGAACATGTGTAAACTGCTTTCCAACATAATTTAATACCTCTGATTAACATTTTAGATACGTATTTCCATTATTCCGCATATCTTATCTATGGTACAGTCCTTTGGGCGCAATAGTGACAGCACTCGTTGCGTGCACAGTCAGCCTGGTAACGAAAAAGAACTCGATAACTGCGCCTGGTCTACTCGCCCCCTGCGTTAGGAAAAGACACCAGATCAAAATTAATGCCAATGAAAGCAAGGTATTCGACTGTAATATAAAAATAGTTTTATAATATAAACTATATAATTGATCGCACAAAACAGTAATATAAACCATCACTATTCTAGGCTAAAGATTTGGAGTTGACTGACAAAATGAGCAATGGTCACGACAACAAGAGCTATGACTTCACCAAATGATTCGTTTTATAGTTGAAATTAAATAAAAAGCCCTGAACTGAAGCGGAAGCACGAAAAGAAGTTATAACTGACAAGAAATTTAAGCCTGAACTTCTAAAAATTAGCAAAAAAAAAACATATTTTTTTACCTCTACGCAGGGCACATTATTTTTGATAAAAAAAGTCAACATTATTATATATGTACGACAACAATTTGTACATGAAAAGAATACATTAAAATTACTGTTCCGCCAAGTATACTGTTTTCATTTAAAGTAATATGGTGTAATAGATATACTTAATATGTAAGTATAGTTGGTTAGTATTATATATATATATATATATATATATATATAATTGCAGCCCAATCGTCGAATTAATTAATTATTACTGCAAAATACTTTATATGTATAATTTTTTTTTTGCACATCTTTACGTTTTATGGATTTCTGAACCTTTTGGCATACTTTATAAAAAATGGATGTATGTGCATGTGTGTGCGTATGTTTGAATACAATTTTTTGTCGACAATATCGAGAGTACGGATCAACCGATTTGAATGACTCAAAAAACATTCGATTCGTCTTGACGGGAAGATGTGCTGATTATTTGTTGGCAAAGGCAGGTCATATCGTTCCAGAGATAAGAATCTTCACGTGATATATTTTTGAAAAATTTTGACTTGAAATAAGCAAATTAAATAAAACATTGGCATAAAAATTATTATATGGATTTCTATCTAGGTTCTACTTCTACACGAAGAATAAATGCATTTATTGTAGTATGCACTACTAATTTAACCATATATTTAATAAAAATCTTTTATAAATAAAATTTTCCTATAGAAATTTTATTCAAAACCAAGATTAAATTCAAGATATTTATTATAACTTCGTACATTTTTATAAATATTTGTAGAAGTTTCATAATTTGTTTCTCCATATGCAACATTAAAGAAACAGTTCGCATTTATTTTTAAACACTGCTACATTCTGGAATCAAATAGTTCCAAATTCCTTCACTTTTTCAACTAGTGTAATAATATAAAAGTTTTCATACATATAAATGTATTCATGTGATAATAAAAATATTTTTGTGTGAGTAATAAATCATTTTAAAAAGTGTTATGTGCGATATTTTCATATTTTCCAGAGTAACTGATATTTAAAAAAGTAAATCAATAATAGTCAAAAACAATAAATGAAAAAAATACAGATTTGTGTAATAAATACCTTTTAAAATTTATAACTTTTTAATTTTTTTAAATTTAACACTGTTGTAAATAGTATAACAAACCACCAATATTTTTCGATATAACCCTGAATGAATTTACATAGTAATTACCATTGATAAGCTCATTTAAAATATTTTCCTTTACCTTATTAGTTATTAATTGAAACAATATTTTATACATGTTATTTAATAAAACATTCACTGATTGCGAGAGTTTGTGACCAAATATAAAAGTTTAAATTTTTAATAAAATAAAAATTTATATGAAACAGTGCAATAATTTGTACAATAATACTCATTGTTAATAGTATGAACTTCTGGGAATAATATACTATGAAAGTTGTAAGCTAATTTTTATTATGGCAGATAATATTAGCCAAAAGAACACATTGTTCACAGACGAGAAAGAACTGAGATTGGTAAATATAATTAATAATTATGTTACTATTTATTTAATCATTAATATAATTAAGGTGCGCATCGTGTTACATCCTTTTATTTTAATTATTGTATATTATGTTTTGAATGATGGAAATAAATTAAATAATGATTTTAAAGTAAATAAAATTAATATCAATTGAAACGTAACTGTACAAATCATAATTGCTACATTGTTAACGTAGAAAAGTAAAAAAAATTAAATGTTTTGGATAAATTTATATTATTAAAGAATTAATTAATAAAGTTCAGTATATTATAGGTATATCGAAAACAGTAACACATTACCTCAAATATTTTTATTTTACCAATATTTTAAATTCCAATTTAATTAAAGTTCTTTATAATTATATTATCAAAAATATACTATATAAATACAAATTCACACCGTTAGTTTAAAACTTAATATATGAACAGAGTTCATATTGAAAATTGCAATACTGTATTTTTAACACTAACTTTTAAGTTTTAAAATATTATATATGTATAATAATATAGTTTGTATTGCATTACAAACGTGCTACGTTTTGTAATGCAATTAAACGATTTTCATATAATATTTATTTCTTTTGCTTGCTTTAATAATTAAAATTTTGTTTCTAGTCACTTCAACATTTTGGATGGCTTGATAATGTTCTTTTTGCAACAACTCTTGTGATATGCATTTTCGTAGGAATATATTTTGGTTTTATAAAAAAGGCAGATAATGAACAAGAATATTTAACTGGCGGAAGAAAAATGATGATTACACCAATATCTATGTCACTTATTGCAAGGTAAATGAAATAAAGAAATACAATTTTATTAGAATAAACATATGGTCATATTAATATGAGTACAATTAAGCAATTATTTAAGAACATTAATCGTGAGAATACTATTATTTTGTATTTTGGAAAGTTGAAATTTCATAGAAGATAAAAAAAAATTCTATCGGAAAATAATATTAAGATTACTGCAAACTTAAAATAGTACAAACTTAAAGAATTATAATTATATATATTCAGAGTAATCAGATATATTTTAACAAAAAAATATAAAAATTATGTAATGCATCTTAAGATTTATAATGAAATGAATTTCATTTGAAAAATATATTATCAAGCAGTATTATGGCTTATGAAATTTGAGATAAAAAAACAGCCTTTAAAGATTAGTTTTGTTTTACTTTCAATGAATTATAATTACAATTAATAAAACAAATAAAAAATAAAAATATGTTCTAATAAATCTATTGACAATGATTGAGGGTTGAAGTAAGGTGACCATACGTCCCTGTTTATTTTTAAAGCAATATTCGTCCCGGAATTAGATCTTTCGCCCCTGCTTGTCCCGGGTTTTTAATAATAAAATTACAACTATCAATCATCAAATATCTAAAAATAATATATATTATATTGCAAGACGCGTCATAAATGAAAAAAATGTCGAATACAAAATTCTAAAGGCGTTTTTAAATAGACTCTCATATTAATAAATTTGAACTTGTATTTTCTATTTCACAAATTTTTATTTTCAAATTATAAAAACGAACGAACGATTGTTTCAATATAAATATAAAAAAATAAGCAAGGCTCAAAGGCGTAAAAAAAAGATTTAGATCGAAAAATATAACATATAATATTACATCATAGGTAAAAAAAAGAGTATTACATATAATCAAATGATAAAATTTTTACTGAAAATCCACACTTCTTATTACAAATTATTGATTCATTAAAATACTGTTTTTTATTGTATCCTTAAACAGTATTTAAAGTATTTAAGAATAAACCCCCCCCCCCCGGATTGGCATAACTAAAAATTGTCGTTTTGACTTAAAATTAATATGGCCACCTTAGTTGAATTAAAAATATGGAACATTAAGTATTAAGGCAATAACATATATATTAACAATTATGTACCATGAATATAATTCTCTCATTATCAGCTACATATCCGGAATAACTTTGCTAGGATTACCAGCTGATGTTTATATATATGGAATGCAATATGCCTATGTTACTTTAGGATTCATTTTCACAGCCTTTGTTATGAATCATATATATCTGCCAGTATATAAGCAATTACAAATTACATCTACATATGAGGTAATTATTAATTTCTTTCTCATATTAACACAATTCAATTCTTAACTAACTTCTGATATATTTTTCCAGTATCTTGAATTACGATTCAACAAGTATGCGCGTACATTGGGTTCTATGATATATATTATAGGAAATGTAAGTGAAATTTGAATTATCTACAAGAGAAAATGCATAATCACATAATTTTTAAATGTCTATTTTTATGTAGGTAGCGTATTTACCAATAGTAATGTATATGCCAGCTTTAGCTTTCAACCAAGGTGAAATCTCAGTTTAAACGTAAAACGTGAAATTTAGTTTAAACGTAGCAATTAAAATTAATATTTGATTTTAAAAATTTAATTCCGATTTTAATTTTAGTAACCGGTGTAAATATTCACATCATCACGCCCATCGTTTGCACCGTATGTGTATGTTATACATGCATGGTAAGTTATATTCAAATGTTTTTATTTTATTTTTTTTATACACAAAAGCTCAAATATACTTTAGAGATGAAAATGAAATAGAATTTGAAGATTCTAGTAAAACAATAATTTTGCAATTAAGTGTGCTTATATATATATGTATAAATATATATATATACACCCATATATATATATATATCTATATATATATATATATATATATATATATATATATATATATATATATATGAGTAAGTTCTTCAGGGCATACATCAAATAAAGGCAAAGATTTAGAAGTTAATCTTTAATTTTTCCAAACGTTTCGACATAGTATTTTATGTCATCATCAGTGGATATAAATATGGTCTTACATCAGTAGCTAGCGCAAGGCACATAATTTTGCACTATTATATATATACACTAACTTGTTTTTTTTATATTTTATTTTTTGTTGAACAGAGCATAGTAAAATATTTGTGAAATATATAATATATTTTGCACAGAGAACGTAGTTTATTTGACCGAGCCCGAGGCTGTAGTGTTATATATATATATATATATATATATATATATATATATATAACTATATATAGTCGTTCAACAAAGCAAGACTTTAGGCAATCTAATATATTATCAAAATTTAGATTCAGTATTTGGTTTCTCAAATCAGGACAATTATAACTGAATCAAATTGATGTTTACAATTATCTTTATCAAACGATAGATGTTTACAATTATCTTTATCAAACGATAGTATAGATAAAACATTTTACCATATGAGATTTATAAATATAAAATCCATAATTTCAAAAAAATATGAAGTCAATATATTATTACTTAATAAATTAAATCTTTGTTATCTTTAAAGGGTGGTCTGAAAGCAGTAGTATGGACTGATGTCATACAAGCCTTGCTGATATTTGGTTCAATGATTTTGGTCATTGTAAAAGGTACAATCGATGTTGGAGGAATATCAAATGTGATACATAAAAATATAGAAAGCCAAAGATTAGAAAAACCAGAGTAAGATTCATCTATTACAAAAAAAGTTATTTCATTTTAACGAAATTAATATTAACCCTTTCCACTTGGGAATTGTCAAATTAATATGAATTTTGATGCCGGAGCGGTGGCATCCAAGTGGAAAGGGTTAAAATTAATAATTGTATTATCTTTGTATAAACGGCAACGTAATAAGAATTATAGAATCCAGAAAATTTGTGATTAAAAGTCAGGATTCATTTTTAATTTACAAATCCTCCATTAACCATCTCATTAAAATAAAAAATTATTATAAGTATCTCAAATATACAAAAACACATAGAGTATAGCGGGGCTTAAAGGTCCGCGAGTAAAAAGTCCACCATCAATATCTCAAAAACCAGTAAATTTGAGCATTTTTTAACAAAAATATTTAAAAAGAGGGAAAAAGCCATAACCTTGATTCTTACGACACTGCTTCATAATCCATAATCCATAACAAAAGTGATTTCTTTCGTTGTTAAGTTTCATTGGTTGTGAACCTCTAGAAAAACTTACACCTGAGTGGGGTAAAAAGGACCAACCGAACTTTACCCTGGCAATTGGCAAAAGAGTAAAAATGAAAAATAGCAAATAAAGAAAATAAGTTAAAAAAAGCTATTTTATAGGAGTTAAATTAGGTAAATAATTAATCCAACTCAGCTGATGAATATTTTTGACGAAATACCAGATCAAGGTTATTTACAGTATTATCTCTGTGAAAAATGCATTCTTGAAATTTATATTTTGCCTTGGTTAAACAATGTTGCTATTATTTTGTAAAATCTCTTTGAAATTAAAATACAATATTGGACTTATTTTCGCCCTGGCCATCTCAATTTACCTCTATTTGGTAAAAAGGACCAGGTTACAAATTTTTGAACAACAGCAAAGAAGCACGTTTTTACAATGATAAATTAGCTGGAATTTTTACCGAATATAGGCAGGTAGTTGCTTGTTTGATATGTGTTAATTGTTGTAATATAATCGGTTTGTTTTTCACAATATAATTGTTCAAAATGAAGTTGGACCTTTGTGCTCCGCCCTACTCTATACATATATATTATATTCTATACATAAATGAACCATACAGAGTAATTAATAACAATTTATTATTTTATTAAGATGCCTAATAGTTATTTTAAATCGTGTTTAAGTTTCAACCCAGATCCTACAGTGAGACACACATTCTGGACCTGCATGATCGGAGGATGTATTACTTGGTTACATTCTTATGCAGTTAATCAAAATATGACTCAAAGATATTTTGCACTACCCACCTTGAAAGCAGCTAGAAGGTTCGAAATAAAATAAATAAAACAAAGTCATAACAACGATTTTCTGGAAAAGGCTAAATTAAATCTACTGCGACTTCATGAATTGAACAAACAAAAATCTATGTATAACAACATGAATATGGTGTAGAAACAAATAAAACTAGTTGGTATTGGTATTTTGCCTTGAGGCAACTTGCATGAACTTCCCGATATGTGTAAATAATCGACTTAATCAATAAAAAAATAAATTAATTTATGAGTTATTAAAAGTAATCCTAGTGGATTTATTACACATAATTGAAAACGAACGGACACATTAACTCGGAGTATTTTCTAAAAGCAAATGTTCAAAAATCAATAATTTTTATAATTGAATCTGTTTCCTTAGGACTTCAATGGTATAATATCATTAAGACCAAGTACTCTATCGTTATATCAAGTAAATCATCTTATTTTAATTTTAACAAACGTCAAAAAAAAATACTCATTTTCTCAAACTTTTGCTGAATTTTTAAAATTAAACTGCTTGTCGTAAGGCCATAATATTTCAGTAAGTTCTATAAGACCTTGATATATATCGCTAAACTAAGTTCCATAAAATCGGCTTAAAAATTTTTTTTCAACAGTTAATTACAAGAAAACGGCTGGGTAGATTTTGACCTAAAACTAATCGGTATCATTCCCAACTAATATCTTTCGAACAGTTTTTGATTTTATAAAATCGATTCGGTAGTATGAGTTTAAATGTGGACGAAAAGTTTAACACTTTTTCCAAATTACAAAGAAACGGCTTGGCCGATCGTCCCACAAAACTGACAAACGATAGTCCTCGTCGAGATACAGCGAATGGCTTTTAAATTTTTGAAATCGGCCCAGCCGTTTTCGAGAAAACGTCGATTTACGGCAAAAAATCTGTTCACATACACACACACACATACTTTTTCCAAATTTGGCCTCATTCAATTCAGAATGGCTTGAAACGTCGAGAAAACATAAAATTAGCGAATCGGATTTTTGGATGAAAACATAAACTTCTCCTTCGGGAAGTTAAAAATCCTATCAACAAATGTAAAGCTTTGCCTATGACAATAATTTTTACGTACTTGAGTATGGGTATTCATCCGCCTACAAAGTCTTCAGAAATAAGTATCACGAGAAGTCATTTTTCTGAAAATCGTTCAATGTGACTGTAGCAACCCTAAGTTGTATTTATTTCCTAATTGTATTTGGCAACTAATTATTTTAATGTAATTATTAGAGCATCTTGGATACTTGCCGTCGGAGCAGCTTTATCGATTACGATTTGTTCATATAGTGGGCTCCTCATGTATGCAACATATAGCGGCTGTGATCCTCTAACTACCAAGGTAATAATATTATTAGATATCGAACATTTAGGTAAAGTGAATCGATTTAATTTGATTTATTTGAATTGAATTTCCCAATCACCACTTTACGACTAATTTGTGGTAATGTTTTCAAGTTAGCTGGCACGTGCAAAAGACCAAATGTTACCGCTGTTTGTTATGCAGACTTTAAGTAAATTTTCTGGACTAACTGGATTATTTATGGCAGGTGTTTTTTCAGCGCTTCGTTAAGGTGATTTTAATAAATATTTACACAACGAGTCTGATTAGATTAGTTATAAAATGTTGTGGATAGTAAGGGTAAATGATATTTGATATTATATCAAATATCAACTAGTTGGTATTGGTGTTTTGCTTTGAGGCAAGTTACATGAACTTCCCGATATGTGTAAATAATCGACTTAATCAATAAGAAATATTAATTTATGAGTGGATTTATTACACATAATTGAAAACGAACGAACACGTTAACTCGTTTCTAAAAGCAAATTTTCACAAATCAACAATATTTGAACTAGTTTCCGTAGGACTTTTATGGTTTAGTTGTTCAATAAAACCAAGTACTCTATCATTATACCAAATACTCGTGAATCGTCTAATTTTAATTTTAACAAACGACAAAAAAACTACTAATTTGCTCAAACTTTGATGAATTTTCAAAATTAAACTACTTGTCGTAAAGCCGTAATATTTAGTAAGTTCTATAGTACCATGATATATATCGCCAAAAAAAGTTCCACGGAAATTGGCCTACATTTTTTTTCAACCATTAATTGCAAGAAAATGTCTAGGTAGAATTTCACCTAAAACTAATCAGTGATAATGATATATCATTTCCAACTAATATCTTTCGAACAGTTTATGATTTTTTTTAAATCGATTCGGTAGTATAAGCTCTTATGGACGAAAAGTTCAACACTTATTTCCAAACTGCAAAGAAACGGCTCGGCTGATCGCTGCACAAAACTGAGAAAAGATAATCTACATCATTTTTGAGAAAGCGTCGATTTACGGCAAAAAGTCTGTTCACACAAAAAAATCAATTAGAAAAATTAATCATGGTGGTATGGTGGTGTAGAAGAAAAGTGAAAAATTTGCACTTACATCATGGACTAACCTTATTCTAGAATTTATTCAATTAAAATCAAGTACCGTCACCGAGCTGTTTTCATCATGATGATTTCAAAGTAATATGGAAGTGGTTGTAAGTGTAAACAGGGCCGGATTTAGAAATTTGGCGCCCCGGGGCACTGACAAAAATGCCGCCCCATCCCTGAAATTTTACGAACTTTCGAACTTTTTTTAAAGCAATCGCGCTGCTTTAGCTGCGTGGGACAAAATATAGAAGCGCCTAAGCGCCGCGTCGCTGTCTAACTGATAAACAATGTTACAGAACTTATATAAATGTAAACAAAATTTATACTTATTAATATAATATCTTTAAAATATCTGATAATTTAATGTGCATATGTCTTATGATCACTTTTGTCCATCAAATGTTTCTTTTTCAAATTTTTTTATTGGATCATCGAAACCGTTAAACCTGCCCCCCACAAATTTAAGCAGTTATTTATTCTGTAAATTTTTTTGAATGATATTGGACGCTTTTTTTCTCAAAAACTGAATTATCATTTTTGGCATTTTGGCCCGTATCTTCAAAACAGTTGGACCTGCCTTGGCTAATAACTAATCAGCACGTCTCCTTATCAATAGGAATTGAATCATTTAAATCGGTTGATCCGTGTTCTCGAAATCGACTTGAATATTTAAAAAATATTAGATTTGTATTTATGGGGAAACATGCTGATTAGCTTTTTGCACAGGCAATTACGAAAAATGGTAATTGAGTTTCGATATTTCTTCTCTGAAACAGCTACGCAGCGCGACTTTTTTGCTTTGCAAAAAGTTCATCAATTTTCAATTTTCGAAAAATTTCAAAATACAAAAAACGTGCTTTAAAAGTCTTTTTTTTTCATTTTTCAAAAAATTTCAAAGCTCTTTATAAAATGTAATTTTCAGTACGGGATGTTTCAGTAATTTGTCTTAAGGGGCACAGCTAGTGTGAAATTTTGAAAAAATCGATTTTTGTTTTTTTTTTTTCATATTTTGGTTTAAAAATAACATATTAAAATTTCAAATCGATATCTCAAATAGTTTTTGAGTTACAGCCATTTAAAAATTATACATATAGTATATATAGTACAACAATCATTTTATCTTTAAACGCGTTTTTCTCGAAACAGCATTTTCCGAATTTGCTGCAGTGATTATTCAAAAACGAATGATCCGATCACTATCAAAATTTGTTTACATGTTCTGTATATAGTTCTCCGTAAAATGAAGTATCGATTTTTTGATCGGATCAAAAATCGAAATTTGGCAGTCGAAAAACGACCAAAATTTTGGGTAAAATTCGACTTTTTTTTTAAAACGCCGCCATTTTGTCAATTTTTGACTTATTTTTTTTATCGTAGTTCACTTTACAGACAATATTATCTAGTTTAACGAGATTTTTTTTTTTTGATTTCATCCACGTAGAAGGCCGGAATCACTGCAGCAGTTAAGGGCCTTTTTTTGTCGCGCCGTTGGAGATCGACGATAACTTAAAAAATATTTAATTTTTTTCTTCAAAAATTTTACTATGTATTCTTAAATATTCATGTATAAATATATTTCTAAAATTTTGAAATGATTGATAAAGTAGTTTTTGTAATATAAATTCCCAAAAATCACCTTTTTTTAGGCGGTTACACTAGTTGTGCCCCTTAAGGCACAATGCCATGAGTCTCTAGGTTAATTTTTTTTCGATGCTATAAGCTTGGAAGTGCACAAATTCGTCATTTTAAGAGGGCTCGAGAACTGAAAAACATATTTTTGTTAAACTTTCAGCTTGTTAATGGATCTTTATATTAGCCAAATTGCCAAATTTGATAACTTATTAACCAATTTGATAATTTACGTTCGGAGAGGGAGGCAAGGCAAAATAATAAATTTTAATAATCGGTTATTTCAACCCAAATTTTGCATCGCAATCGTATTATGTTCTGTTAATTATATTTCTTAAAACAAAAAATGTTGTTAAAAAAGTTGATTATATTGTATAGAATTTTTTTCTCACTATCCAAATTTTGCCGCCCCCCAAAATTTGCCGCCCTGGGCAGTAGCCCCGATTGCCCCTACTGTAAATCCAGCACTGAGTGTAAATGATTATGTCCTTAATCTATGCCTGAAGCACAAATTATTTATATTAATGGTTTAGTTTATATTTTAGTTTTAGTTTTCTAGTTCAAGAACTCATTAAGATGTTTTACTTTAATACAGTTTACGAAATGATCATTTCAAAAGACAAATTTCTTTCACATTCTGCTTGGCTTTGAGGCTTTTGAAGACAAAATTCTCATAATTTACTTTTTTTACTTCACAGTACCTTATCAACGTGCCTCAACTCAATGTCTGCCATAATCTTGGAGGATTTCGTTCGTCCATTAGCAAAATTTCGCGACCATGTCCTAACAAGTCACCAGATTTGGTTTATAACGCGCTCCGTCGTGATTCTTGTTGGAATTCTTTGCGTATGTTTGGTTGTGGTAGTCGAACGTGCAGGGAGTATTTTTCAGCTAAATTACACCCTTGAAGCTATTACGGGTGGCCCTTTGCTGGGAGTCTTCACGGCCGGAATGCTCATACATTGGGTCAACGAAAAGGTAATAAAAGATAAGAATCAAACTTTACTAAAAAATAAATAAATAGAAGTTTTGTATAAAATTATTAAATAGATCCTCACAACTAACATTCAAAAAGATAGCAATTCATAAAGCTTTCCCGTGAATCATAGTTCCCGATGCCTCAAAAACAAGTAAAGTTAAGAAAATCCTTAAATAGGAGTCTTTGACTCCGCCGAACGTCTATAAAGTTACATATTGAAGTTATAAAATGTGTTTGGTAACAAAATACATATAAAATCATTATGAAGTGATTGAATGACTGAATTAGTGTTCTATCTAAGTCTTAAGACAAGCTCGGGGGGTTTGGGAGTCATAATCCCCGTGACCCAGCCCCTGGATCCGCCATTGCTTGAATATTCTATAAAATTTGCTCATTTATCTCTGGAATATACTTCTTTTACATTGTTCACAACCCATAATTTATTTACATAAATAATTAAAAAATTCTATTCATATATCTACAATGGGTTTGTTTATAGCTGAAGTGTTAAAATGCAAGTGGTATGAGTTTTAGAACCTTGTAACCATAATGTTTCTAGCTATGGTTTCTAGGTTCTAGTGATATTATTTTTACTTGAAAACAGATCTAAATTATGATTTCAAATGAAAATAGCCTCACGGGACGTTGCTTCAAATATATCGTATCACTATTAAAAAGATTTTTAATAATAATAATAATAATAATACAAAAATAATGCATAACCACTGGGGTTACCTACTTGCTATAGATAAACAAGTATAAATGACTTTCTAATTAGTAGGCAAACCATGGTTTGCAGTTGTTGATATCATTAGGTAGTTGCTCATACAATTATACAATGAACAAAGAAATATATCTGCAGTTATGGATCAATAAAAATTGATTAACATTATCATTTTATAGGGAGCAATAACAGGTTTAGTAAGTGGACTATTTTTCATGACCTGGTTAACTTTGAATGCTCAAGCAGCCATTGCTTCAGGACACATCAGTTTTAAAACCAAATCATTCAATGTAGAAGGCTGTGATTATAATTACAACACGACGTTCTCCAAACAAGAAGAAGCTTCAGTTGAAAGGTAACTATAATAATAATTTTCATATACTTATACCTCCCACACGAAAAAATAGATATAATTTTTAATACCACAGAATTTAAATCTGCTTTTTAACATTATAGTTGGACTTTACTGTAGTATACATAGTCAACAATTCAACTATCAACTATCTCGTACCACAAACGCTAAATTGATTAGATATTAGAATATTCATTTAGTTTTAATAAACTGGAGTAAAATTTTTAAAATCGAACTTACAATTTTATTTTTAAAAAAATCAAGCCTGAAAATATATTTAAGCTAGTTAAAATATTTTTTTGAAAGTATGAAAAATGACTAATTTACAATTAAATCTTCTAACCGTTTCAGCACGAATCATCGAATTTGCTCACTCAAACGATTAAATGATGAAATTTAAAATTAAATTTGAATTTAACATGCATATTTACCTTTGTCCTAATAGTTTTTCATAATATTGAAGAATATCTACAAAATACTGCTGAGTTATATAAACAAATATAGAGATTATTCCAAATTTAAGAATCCTTTATCAAATTACTCATTTGCAGTCAATTTTTTTCAAATTTAAGACATCAATCGTATTTTTTTATAAATTGTGAAAAATCACATTTGTAAAGACCTGAAAAAATATACCATTTGAAATTTTCGATGAGGAGCATTTCATATAATTTAAAATTCCAAACATAGGTAAATATAACATTGATTTTACATATTACATTTTACAACGACTGTAGTTGCATACATTAATGTATGCATACAATTGTATGTATACAATTGTATGTTTTACATATTTCAAATCAAAATTTTATAACAATTATTATGTGACTAAATAAAAAATGGCGAAATAATTGTTGGATATGTGTTGCATTTCGAAACGTTTCATACCCTTCAAATTTTCTTTCCAATTTTCAAATTTGATTCAATCAATCTAATATCAATATTTTTTATTATTGCAGTCGAATATTCCCATTATTTCGTGTGTCTTACCTGTGGTACAGTCCTTTGGGTGCACTTGTTACTATTATCGTGTCATGTGTTATCAGTTTAGTTACTGGAAATAATACCAAAATTGATCCCGGATTGCTGGCTTCCTGTGTCAGAAAACGTCTTGTTCAAAATCGTGCACGACACACAGATGTTATTGCCAATAGAGATGAGGTAAATGCATATTTTCATTATACTTTTAATTTTGAAATCACTTTACAGAAATAAGAAACTTTAATTATAATATAAGTAGTCGTAATTTGCATTTTGTCTGGAGTAAAGTTGCACTGTTGCATGACTTCCCCGGTGTAAACAATGAACTTTATCAATGAATATTCAGGTTTACCAACTTTTGATTTCGTGACGTTACAATTTTGAACTCGCGGCTATTTCAAACTTTGACGATGCTTTAATGTATTTTTATCATTAAACAACTTTTTTCAGGATTGTAATAATTTAGAATGTTTGTTAAAATCAAAACCTCTATCGTCATAAAAGTAAATAAATAATCAAGACGATCGCCAACTGATAGAACAGATTTTGAATATCGGTTCAGGATTTTTTGCTAAAACGTGGACAAAACATTATGCACTTATCTGCTAATTATAAACAAAAACAATCAACCGATCGTCTCGCAAAACTAATTAACGACAATCCATGTCGAGTTTCATCGAATGGCTTTTAAATTTTTGAAATCGGTGCAGCCGTTTTCAGAAAATGTTGATGAAATTTGGTCCCACACGATTCAGAATGACTTGGAATGTCGAGAAAACAGAACAAGTAAAGCAGATATTCTGGCAAAAACAAACATCCTTCGGAAAGAAATCAATTGATGAGTAAAATCAAAATGTTAAAATAATCCTTCACCAACAAAATATTTGCTTTGTTGAAGACAAAACTTGATTAGTTAGTTGTTATATCTCTATAAATTTAAATATTAACCCGAATTTAAATAAAAATAATAAATTTAAATATTAACATCAGTTATTAAATACTTTTGAATTATTTTGAATTGTTCATGCATTTTAAAATATGAATAGATTAGTAAAATAAAATTGTGTATGAATCATTACAACAGTTTAAGTGTTATTTATTAGTAAAGGTTTCCATGAATAGTACAACAAATGAAAAAAATTTGATCAATCTTGTTGGAATTTTAATTAGTTTACTTATGTTTATATTTCTACCACAAATAGCATTTATATAATTGATGGAAAATAATACATAAAAATAAGAATTTATTTGAACATTAATTAGAATATGTTTTTAGATGGAGAACCTTGAATTAACACAAAGGATAAACACGGAAAATAATAAGTATGTATTTATCAAACTAATATTTTAATATTATGAACAAACTATGCAATATATTTGATTCTAAATTTTAGATAACCACAATAAACATGAATAAAGAAAGAAGAAAGAACCACAAGAAACATGAATAAGTTATTAGAAAATATTGCAGGTGCATTAATGCAATTTCATTACAATAATCGTTATTTTTACTCAACATGTAAGTAGAACAGCAACAACAGATTTATCAATACTGCCATTAGAATTTAGTTACAGAAGAAAAAAAAATACAAATCAATATGATATAAAATAGGCAGAAGATACATATTCAAGAAAACTTCACAAATTGTTAAAAAAATAATTAATTTATTGACTAGAATATGTACTAACAAAGAAACATGCAACCACTTATAACACATCACCAACAATTTGATTTCGAAACCAAAACCACCCATGTTAGAAATAAGATACATATTTAGGTAAAGTATATTAATTAATTTATAAAATACTACCCAAATTATAAAATTTTATAAAAATCTTATTATATTGCTATAAATTCATAGAAAAACGTATAAAATATACAATCATTACTTATATTATGTACAAATTAACCTGACCTGGTTTCAATAAATTGTTACATATATATTAAAGGGAAGATTTCGGTGCTGCACCTTTCAGCCTAAAAACAAAAATTACATTATATTTTTATTTAAAAATGCAAAGTGTAAGAAGAAATAATAAAAAACTTTAATTTCTACACAAATTCACACACAAACTTGTAAAACGATAATCACTATTACCTTGATTCCAAGCAAGAAAACATACGTGGGGATTTTTTAGGATAGGATTTTCTTCGGGTTATCAAGGAATAAAATCATTCGAAAAACCACAAGCAAATATGTCAAAATAATGTGATGTTAAATGGTGCAAATCTGAAAAAGTAAAATATCTTTTATACATAAATTATCAAAAATGTTTCAAATATTGTAAGCTATTTTTAAACTTACACCCAAAATTGTTCTAAACCAGTGTTTCTCATTAGATTTTATATTAGCAAAACATAAAACAAAAATAATTAATTTTTAAAAAAATCTCAAAAGTATCTAAATAGTTAAGTATTCACAGCCCCTTATTTGGGAAACAATGATTATAAACAAAGCAATGCAACAGATTAACAATTTATAAGTTTCAATCGGAAGCAGCTCGGAAAGGTTTCTAATAGAAGAACTCAAACCAATTTGGTAAATAATAAATAGCAATACTTTACAAATATTTAGAAAATGTATAAATTATAAAACATGTTAAATTTGTTAGGTATAGGATAGTGATAATAAATAAAAACCAAACAAAAAGGGGTAATGTCATATTTAATAACAATAATCAATTTTATTAATACTTCTTATGTAGAAGATATATAAAAAGTAGGAAAAATTTCCAAACATAAAATAAATTTTCATTAAAAATAACATGTTCTTAACCATTTCCATAATTTAAACAATTGATACAAGTATAAAAAAATATAAATTTACCTAAGTTATAACAAATTTATAATCATCTATAATATTATATTTTACAATGGTTGGTCCAGCATTTAAGTATATATAATTTAAAAAATGATTCAAAACATATTTAAATAAAATGGTTATATATAGATATCAACATTACAATATAGTATTTAATATTTAAAATTCAAATAGCAATAACATGTAATTTAAAATTTAACATTATTTAAAATCTAACAGCAGTGTGTAGTTTTGACGATCATGAAAATACAAGTAAAAAACTAGTATTTTTAAGATGATTATTATGTGTATATCTTTTTCAAATTACTAATTATGAAAAGCATGCGAAATAATCAAAACAAACTAGCAAACTCTCACTTATGCTTCATGTAAAAGAACATTACTAAATATTTACCATCAGATAAGCATTTTAAATCTGATTTATATTTTATAAAGCAGGCACTTACATGTGTTCCGGGTGGCTCCTTATACAATTAAGAAATTCTTTAACATCCATATCTCCAGTGCAAATTTTATGAACAGCAGTAAACAAAGGAAATCTGAAATGATTAATAAAAATATGTATTACAAAAATAATTTACAATACCAAAAATGTTGACCAAGACAACCAGTATGAAACTTTGTGTCATTATTGTTTTTCAAAACTTAAATTAATACATTGATAAAAAAAAAACATTTCTAAAGATAAACACCATGAAAAATTAATTTGTAATATAAGGATAAAATTATTCCAATAAATAAACCACAAAATCCAATAAATAATAACATACTTGTCTTGCATGCCACGATTTCTCAGCATAAAATTAACTTCCTCCGCTGTAATTGGTCCTTGCAATTTTTGACCATTTAACATTTCGTCTTCTAATTGTTTCAATGATTTACCTGTTTTCACAAATGCTTCAGAAACTCTACGATTTCTACCACCTGAAAATTTATTATAAAATATATAGAATAAAAACCAAAGAAAAGGACACTCACGTGCAATTGCAACCATAGTTAATATTATTTATGATTTCATGTTTCAGAACTAAAAGCATCTTTTTTTTTTAAACAAGTTATTAAATTTATCATTTATAAGTATTTTTAAATATGAGAGATATGAAACAACCTCTTCTTTAGAAAAAGTTAAAAATAAATAATTTATTATTCAACTATAGTTCATCATATTAATATTTTTATCTAATTATAGTATTATCATTAATAGTCCTAAATTAAATTATACATTATTAAAATACCATTTCTAAAAATGAGTGTATAAATAATCAGTAAAATAAATTAAAGATGCTATAAATTAATAAGTACACAGTTTTATATGTGAATTAAATTGAAATTTTTAGAAATCTAAATCTTATTAGTAATATATTACTAACTTACCATAACATGTAGTAACTAAATCAGCCACACCGCAAGATTCAAAGAAAGTAGAAAGTTTACTTCCTGGATAGAAAACATCAACAAAACGAATCATTTCCATTAAACCAAGACGAATAACTGCTGCCTTGGTGTTATCTCCAAGATTCATACCATCTACAAATCCTGCACCACATGCTACTATGTTCTATTAAAATTGGTATAAAATGTATCAGAATTTATTTTTATCAAATAACTTAATATTCATGTAAAAACATAATTATTCATTACTAAAAATAAATTTAGCTCATTACGTAGCATAATAAATTTTCGTTATTGTTGTTATAATAAGTTTTGTTATTACCTTTAGTGCTCCACAAATTTCTACAGCATCTTCATCATCAACCACAACAACACGGAAATAATCAGTTTGAATTAAATCTCTTAATAAAGGTGCTAAACGTTTATCTCTGCAACCAATTGTGGTTTCACAGAATTTTTCATCTGCAACTTCGCCAGCTAAATTTGCACCCATTAAAACATGACATGGCACCTGTAGGAAATTTTTTCATTTATAAAAAGATCAATAGTATATTCTATTAACAATAAAAATAATTGAAGCATAAATATTAAAGAAATTAGAGAAAAAGGCAAGAAACATATATTTTTGGTGCAAAAAAAAAACATGTATGATAATCAACACTCATAATTTAAACATTTCTATTTGGAAATTTAGAACTAAATTTCTATTGTATATAATATTATTTATAGTCTATACTATATACCTTTAAATGTCTTGTGATAATGTGAGATATGAGGTCAATACCACCACCTTCTGCTTGATCAAAACCTTTTATTAAAGATAATGCAACAGCAGTTGGTTTTATCTCTTTCCTGAAATTATATAGTTATAAAATATACGAAATATAAATAAAAATATACATCATTTATTACAATTACCTAATAAAGTTGCACACAAGGATCTGACAAATTGATGAGGGACAACAAAAATTAAAATATCAGCTTCTCGAGCAGCTGCAACTACATCTGGTACTGCAATCTTAAAAATAAAACATCAAATTAGAATGTGAGCAACTATTATTAATTTTTACAGCTTTAAATGCATAGGTGTCTAATATTTCCTGAATAAATTATGAAAAACTGAAAATAATGTTCCCAATAATTTATAGAGTTTGCAATGGTAACCGAAACATCTTTCACATGATTCTATTCGCAATTTTTAATTGAAATTAATCTTTTCCAAGTGAGCAATTGTAACTGAAATATCTTTAACATGATTTTATTTACAATTTTTAATTAAAATTTATCTTTTCCAAGTGAGCAATGCTTTACAATACTGAGTCTGAAAATATGAAACCTGCAATCTGAGGTAGAAAAGTAGCAAGATAAGCATTTGCGGTAACATGTTGACATACCATCCATGGATACTCAAAAACTACATTTATAGAAATAGAATATGAATATACAGGTAACCCCCGCATAACACGCTACACTTCTACAATATGGATTGGCTCTAACACGGTTTAAAAATTGAGCAAAACCCTAATAAAATAAGAAATGTAGTAAAACTCATCAAAATCAAACTTTATTTAGGTTTAAAAATCGTCATGCAATAGCTTAATAAATGTGATTAAACTAATGCAAAAGATAACTAATTTTATATTTATTATAGGAACACGTACATTCTATCAAAAATAAAATCTAGGATTATCCAAACAATTAATCAATTAGTCTTAAACAAAGATCCTTTAAATAAAATGAGCATAAAATTTCAATACAGATAACTTTGCAAGTGGTAAATATATAAATAACTTTTCTCTAAAAGCAAGTAACCGCAAATATTTTTGTGCAAAAGATAATGCACGTATCTGGAGGTATATCTTGCAAAAAAAGGATCATGTTGGAAAGCTCTTACTTGTTAATTATTATTACTTCCTAAAACAATAAATAAATGTAATAATATTTATTATACATTCATGATATATAGCATGTTTTTTTGAATTCTTGGAATGTAACCCTTTCTTTTGTACTAGTTTCTTGTCCCGTATAACACGGATTAGCATAAAACACTAGTTTTTTTATAGAATGTATCTATCGTGTTATGTGAGGGGTTACCTGTATGAATATAATATTATAAAAATATAAAAAGCAATATATTATTAGTTACATTATTCCTATATAAAAGATTATTTCTTTTATCCACATATATACTTTGTAAAACAACAAATATTTACATAAATAAATTAACTTCTATCAAG